CGAGGGAACAAAATCTTAATTTGTGGCCACGATTTACTAAAACGAGGGAACACATTTTTAATCCATGGCCACGATTTACTAAATTGAGAAAAAAAAAAATTAATTTGTGGTTACAATTTACTAAAACGAGGGAACAAAATCTTAATTTGTGGCCACGATTTACTAAAACGGGGGAACACATTTTTAATTCATGGCCACAATTTACTGAAACGAGGGAACACATTTTAAATTCATGGCCACGATTTACTAAATTGAGAAAAAAAAAAGCTTAATTTGTGGCCACGATTTACTAAAACGAGGGAACAAATTTTTAATTCAATGTAATGTTGTGGGCTCCAAACATTTCTAAGGAATGAGGAAAAACAGTTGACACATCAAGGAAACATAAATGATAACTCCAAGTTTTCCAGACTCCAAAAGAGCATTTTTATTTTGTTTTTGCGAATCACTCTGGTCACCAGTTTCCCATTCCAGCTCACATTACCACCCTCCAGATTCATGCATGTATGGCATAATCTCCAAACTCTTTCCGTTCCCCTCACCACCGGCTACAAATCTCCTTCCCAGCAGCCCCCTCACCGCCCGAGAAATGTCTTCACACTGCCTCCTCTCAGAGGGAAAAGATTGACCTTGACGAGACGTTCCTCCTCTTAAACACAGATTACACCAAATCTTTCTCCAGCACACACGCTTCCAGAAATCCATTTTTCCACCTCTGATGGTTTTATATCTCAGCGGCAGCTATTCAACAGCACAGGACACTCAGATTACAGTCAAATTTACTGTGAGGCAGCATAAACACTTCTTTATCTCATTAAGCATGCATGGATTCATGAACATGAATATTCAAACGTTCATATGAATATTCACAAAGTACCGCTCAGTTTCTCAACCTTTACTCTTTTCTTCTTTCTTCAGTCACACACACTATAATCACATGCATAAACAGAGGAGAGTGGGGTGTCTTTTGCTTGAGTTTTCTAACAATTACAATCAGCTCTTTCAGCAGTGATCTGCAGCGGTTCCCAGCATGCATCAGCACCTTGTGTTTGCGACCCTGTATGAGTTAGGGGTTGAAATGACACTGTTCATCAGCGCTGTTCTGATCTCATTTTGCTCTGATTGTAGGCGAGCAGCAAAGTTCAGCTGTCAGAGAAAGCAGATCTTTTAATAAATCACAGAAGAGCCACTGTACAGAAACCATCTGCACATGTATGGATATTACCAGTCGATCCTGACAAGGCTATACACACATTACTGACAGTAACATTAGCCCTACTCTTACATGAAATCTGGTCCGCTTATTTGCTCCAAGAACCACCCACTTGACTGACATGACTGACACGTAACACGACCAATCACAGAATGTTTTTTTTTATATACAATGTCTATGGATTGGTAAATATGAAACTGGACATAACTCTGAGAAAATGGGATATACAGTGTTCAAGTAAATTCCATAAAGCTCAAACATGGTTGTTGGAAGGATGGATGGACGGATGGATGGATGGATGGATGGATGGATGGATGGATGGATGGATGGATGTATGGATGGATGGTTGGTTGGATGGATGGATGGACAGACGAATGGATGGTTGGTTGGATGGATGGATGGATGGATGGATGGTTGGATGGATGGATGGACGGTTGGATGGTTGGATGGATGATGGATGATGGATGGATGAATGGATGGTTGGTTGGTTGGTTGGATGGACGGATGGATGGATGGTTGGGATGGATGGATGGTTGGACGGATGGATGGATGGATGTATGGATGGATGGATGGTTTGTTGGTTGGATGGACGGATGGATGGATGGTTGGTTGGTTGGTTGGATGGATGGATGGATGGATGGATGGACGGATGGACAGATGGATAGATAAATATATCTATACACTTGTAATTTTTTCTAACAAAAACAGAATGAAAAATGCTGCAGAAACTGTATGTTACATTACCACATGTTTTTTGCATTAATAATTGTAATAATTTCACTGTATTCATGCTGTATGCTCAATATAATTTCTACCATAAGTCAGTCAAATTTTTTTTTTTAATCAATAGTTAATATTTTTTACAGCCCAAACTACAGTACTGCACCATAAGATTATTACTAAAACATATAATAAATTATAAAAAAAAAAATTTCAAGAAAAAAATGTATTGTCCAGTTAAGTTTATATGGCAAAGTAACAATCACATATATGATTTTATTTTACCTCAAGATGTTTTATATTATTTTTGTCGTATTTCCTTAACCTGAACTCAGCTGGCAGTGTTTAGCGGAAATGTAACTGGATGTTTTTATGGTGTGTGATCTGACAGAAAGAGTAGAGAGAAAATGGAGCTTCTTAGAACCTCCACAAGACTCGGAGCAGCAAAAAACATCTTTCAAAAGAGGACAGAGAGAGAGAGAGAAAGCACGGCCCAAGCATCTCATCTCACTCTCAGACAGAAATTGAGCTCCGATCTTTTTCCCTGTTTTTTTTTTTTCGAGGAAGAGATTCATACATGCAGAATCTAGCGTATCGTTTGTCTTCAGTCATGCGAAATGCCGTCCGTCAGCTTTACTGCAGCCTGGTTTCCTCTCCGCACAGTCACGATAAATGATGGGAGAACAGAAGCAAGATGAGGAAAAAAAGGCAGAGAGAGAGAGGGAGGGCTGTAATGTTTTCGCACAGATATGGCTTTCAAATACTGGCTTATGGGTTGGAATTCATACGCTATCATTCAAAATGACAAACCAAAATAATACAAGGATCATTTATCCCGCTGCTTCGGACAGATCCTTTTTACCTCATGGTTTCTACCAGGTACAGAAGTGCAAAAACAGCCCAGCATAAAGTGAACTATTTTACAACCAATTACATGGAAATAGCCATTACAGCATGTTGAAACTAAAAGACTCAGAGTCCATCAAATAAAACTCAAACAGTCCTGCATAGCCAGACTTTTGACTATCAGCATAAATACTAGCCCACACCACAACTCATTCTAGCCACAAAAAGTTGCCACCTGTTGTTTTCTGTCATATCAACATACACTTTTCACAAGTAATAGCAAAAAATGAATTGTAATTACAGTTATTCTCCTCCTTGACTATAGGTAAGTTCATTCTTGACAATCTACCAACAAACTACAAGGTATGTAAATCTTTTTTGCTTCTTGCAGTTTCATTGGCCGTTGCTCTATTGCTAATAGTACACTAATTTGACAAGTTAAATACAGTTTCAAATGTGTTGTAGCATCACATACACTAATGTGCAAAAAAGTAGTATAATAATATATGCTTGGTTTTAGAGACAGAAATAAAATCAACATGTAAAGCAATTAGCAGTCAACTGAAACAGTTTTTTTAATGGCCGACAACAATATTGAGAAAGCTGGTTGGTTGATATTATGCCTATTATATATGCATAGTACAATTCAATGATGTACACAAACTTTCTGAACCAAAAATAACACAAATTCACAACAAAATGGACACTTTACACAATTAATTGCAAAATATGAATGAGAATTACATGGTTATTCTCCTCCTTGACTTTAGATAAAATGGTGAAATTTGATATGTGTCGTAGCATCTACACTACAATTTGGGGCATTTTGTTGTATACTTAAAACATTAGTGTACAAAAAAATGTAGTCTTATAATGTACCCTAGTGAAAAATAAATATACTAAAATGTATTTGAAATACAATTATTTCATGCAAAGTACACTACAAATACATTTACATATTTATGCACTTAATAAGAATACCCTGCAATTGTACTTTTAGTATACTAAGCTGGTATACTTAAAGTCTGCTAAATTGGGAGAACTAATTTTGTACTTAATGCACTTTAATTGTGCAAAAGTAGTGCTGAAGTCCAACTAAATATATACTGAAGTACATCTGATTGTGCTAAAATGGAACTACTGCAAGTATACTTAGGCGCACTTTAAATATCTTGCATTTAAAGAACGTGATATTATTCAAAGATCATACAATCTTCGGCAACAGTGACATTGAAACACATTTTAGGCTTAATATTAAGAAATGAGCATTGTGCACAAGTAGTACTCCAAATAAAGTTTAATTATAATTTTTATATCAGTAAGTCTTGAGCGATATGTCAGTAAATATGTTAATAGATTTGAACTATACTTGGTATGAAATAAATGTATTTTAAATATATTACATTTTTACTACGGTATGCTTGGTTTTAGACAGCAAGATCAACATGTAAAGCGATTTTGACAACAATATTGAGAAAACCGGTGAGCTGATATAATGTCTATATGCATACTACAATTCAATTATATCAAACGAGATGTACACAAATGTTGCATCCCAAATGATGCTTTATACACTATGTACTCATGCATGTATATGCAAAGTACAATTAAATGATAGGATCAGTACTTTCTGAACTGAAAAGAACACACAAATTTATGACAAAATTGATTTATTATGTATCAACAAAAATATCTGAAGAATTCGGAACTGAAAAACTGCCTCAAACAATCCCACAATCCTCTCAAACTCCAGCTCAAGTTCTTCCTCAGAAACGCTAATTTTAGCCAACCCAGTACCTTGTAAACAGGACAAACCACTAAAAACCTGAGAACCCTGAATTAAATAAAGCCAGCCAATCAGATTACATCTGAAGCTGATACGTGTCAGTGGGCATGTTTGTTCTGCTCCAACTGGGTTTGTGGGTGCGCACACATTTGGGCGTCTCCTGGGGGCCCCGAACGGTTCAGACGAACCCCTGTAAACACCTACGGAAGCTGCTGTCTGTCAGATATGCTGACATCACTCACTGCGCTCACAGACTGTCAACGCGGCACCTCTTTTATTCCGAAATCAACTCTATTTCTTTTCTGGCACATTGGCTTTAATATGATTTAAAGTGTAGCTGCAGGAGACGGCAGTATACTGAGGAAAACTACCATGCCAGCACTTACATAACATCACAGAAACACAAATCACTAGGAGAGGCTGAGTTGTACTCACGCTTCTCTGCTCTTTAGGATGGAAGCTGCTGGTTCACAGGGAATCTTGCAGGAGATGGAGACACGTTCTCTCCTGTGTCCACATTCCCCTGTCTTAATGTCTCCTCAGTGGAAAATCCCAGAACAGATGAAACTGCAATGGGAAAAACAAAGCAGAAGAGAATGTTTTAGGACTAATGCTACAGTATGTCATCATTTGGGTGCATTTCATTGGATTGAATTGTCTTTGAATATATATTTAATTTATTAGCCGCATTCACTAAGCCAACCATCACTATTGGTACTATTACTCAAACGGAGGGTTAGGGATTTGAACAAACGAAATGAAACATATCTCATCCTGCACACTACAGAAATTAACGATCTCTTAAATTAAATTAAAGGCGTGCTATTACTTTCATAAGTTATTGGACTTGGGTTTTCCTTCAACTATGGACAATTTTGTTCCTGTGGACTTTTAGACAATAAAGTCTCAAACCAAAATGTTCATACTCTTACTAGCTTAATGTGTTAACTAAACTGTCCTACAGTGTATCTCAATGCTTAAAGTGTAATTTCACCACAGTGTTATTTCCACCAAATCTCAAATTAAATATTATTTTTAAAGCATTTTGTGGTGGAAATGCATTTAAAAAATGTTGGGAACAAAATGGCTGACACCTTTGCCTATTTCACAGCATTAAATTATATTTTGGACAAAATGACAGCTTAACTGGAAATGACACAGAATAAACATTGATCACAAGTGATATTTACTTTGATTTTGTGACATTTACCTCGGTTTTACTTCACACATCACATCTCATATTTCATCTCAAGCTTAATTGGGGCAAAATTGTTGATGTGGAAATGACAAATGTATTATTTTTTCATTTTTTATTTAGATTTATCAACATCAAAATTCATATTTTAATCGGTTTTCATGTAAAAAATATAAACGATTACATTCAAGATCTAATATCTGAGAGTAAAACAACATAAACCGACATCTGTTTTTTTCTTTTTAATAAAAATCGGGCCCAAGTTGAAGAAACACCCACATATGATTTGTACCTGAAGGATGATAAAACATGACAAAAAATTCCCATGGACTTACATTGAAGCAAAGACTCAAACCGTATCTAGAGAGCAGAACGTCAGAGACTTTAACGCCTTAGCAACCACACAGACCACCCTAGCAACTGCACAGTAACGTGTTAAAAACCCCTTGGAGCAACTTAGCAACCTATTAGTGACCCAAAACAATCTTTTTTTGTTGTCGAAAAAGCAGTCATAATAAAGTCCCACAAGAAATATTTCTACATCAAGCCTTTATTAAAGCATCCGCCATGTATATTTTAAATTAAGCTCCATTATGAATCCTCACATGGCTGCAGCAGATGTGACCGTTTCTCAAGGTTTAACAGCTCTCGGTATATTTTAAATGAGACCTGCGGTATTATAACTCATAACCTTTCCATTTGATTGGCTCTGCTGTGAGCGTCCACTGTTACTGATTGCCTCCGCTGGGAGGGTCTCTTTGTCTCCTCTTGGCCACACAATTATAGTTTTCCCCTCTCTGATTGGTGGCTAGGTGCATAATACAGAACTCGCACACACACTGCGAGACCATCTCGGCCACCCTTCATTTTCAGAGCGAATTTCCTGCTGCGGCTTCATCTCCACCTGAATCCCACTAGCACACATCATCAAAGCCACTTCCTGTATTACAGCTCCCTGCACTGTGGGTATTTTTAATAGCCCTGAATGTGCCGAATTTATATAATGTGAAGACTTGTTTATTACAAATTGTCGAGATATCATTATGTTCTCCACTGTGGGTTAACTTCACAAGACAAAAATGGAAAATTCCACTAATGTATTTGCAATCTATCTAAGGTTACACCAGGCTTACAGCTCTCCCAAATGACAATTTAATATTTAAATGAGGTTTTTGTGAAACTGAAACACCCATTTAGCTTCACAAGCAAGAGTTCCTAGGTCAAATTCACGGTAAGTTCAACAGGGTATCAATATTTCACCCTCAGCTGCATGAATGAAAGAAAATCCCATTGTAATGCTGAAAAGATTAGCTTTCTTTTAGAAAATAAAGAGCTATTGCACAAAACGCTCTCTAACAGTAAAGTTAATGAAAATGCATGCTGCTTTCAAGCAGAAAACTACAGTAGCAAGCCAGACTCTATAGCTAAATCATCTATGAAAACAGCCTGAATGGGTTTGAGAGAACAAAAGCAGGACTGGATTGACCATATGGGCATTTGGGCACATACCCAGTGGCACCAGGCTTCCCCAAGTCAGCCGGCAGTTAATGTGGCAAGCCGAAAGGACGTTAATGTGGCAAGCCGAAAGGACATTAGTGTGGCAAGCCCCAAGCACGTTAGTGTGGCAAGCCCCAAGGACGTTAGTGTGGCAAGCCCCCAAGGACGTTAGTGTGGCAAGCCCCCAAGGACGTTAGTGTGGCAAGCCCCCAGGACGTTAGTGTGGCAAGCCCCAAGGACGTTAGTGTGGCAAGCCCCACGGACTAATATGTGCCGGCTCCAGCCCCAGAACTCGCTCCAGCGCCGGCTCTAGCCCCAGAGCTCGCTCCAGCCCCAGAGCTGGCTCCAGTGTCGGCTCCAGCCCCAGAGCTCGCTCCAGT